GGTTCAGGGCTTAGGGTTTAGGGTTTAGGGTTTAGGGTTTAGGGAGTTATGGGAGTTTTGGTGGTTTAGGGTTGACGGCTTAGGGCACGCTAGCAGAAAAGCCTCTATCACCAAGGACTTCGACGCACGACGTTCGTTTGCTGCACACGGCACCCGAGTCGACCCTGCTTGTATGCGCGTGGTCTTCGCATGCCTTACTTGGAAGGGCAGGGGACTTAGTAAGTAGGTTATAAGTAGGGTTACAATTGGGGTAACTCCATTTAGGGTACTCATAACTCTACTTATAACCTACTTACTAAGTCCCCTGCCCTTCCAAGTACCAGTCGCAAGATAACATGAGGTGCACTGTGCAGCGCCGACAGCCGACATGTCCGATAGAATCGCCTCAGTCCTAATCAAGCGATCTAACCCGAACCTGGAAACCTCCCAAGTCCCAAGGGACGCCGCAGGGCACCGTGCAGTGCAGTGAGGGCGTTAAGAAAGCAAGGAGACCCTAAACCCTAAACCCCTAAACCCCTAAACCCTAAACCCTAAACCCTGAAGCTGCGAGTGTCAACCCTCTGGACCGAAACCCAAATCCCTGGGCGTAAACCGGTAGGGTCTAGGGTTTGGGGCTTAGGGTTTGGGCGGTTTGGGCTGTCCTTTGTGGCGCTCTCACTTGGCGGAACTTGTCTGGGCGACCAGAAAACAGTCCTTCAAGGTTTTTCAATTATTGAATCCAAACATACCGCTTCACAAATGGTCTACTTTCGCCCAACATGCAGGATTTCTGCGCTCTCAGCGATATTGTCCTTTCGTGTAGTGACTGCAGTATTAATTTGTGTAGTCTGTAGAGATTAGATGCTGGAGAAGAAAGGTAGGTAGGTAGAGTTCGACCTGCAGCAGTAGCTGCGGCCTCCGCCACTCTTCCCCGCCCAGCATCTCGGGGGGCCTCCGTAGGCGTCATCGGCCCCCTCCGCGGGAGGTTCCAGAGGGGGATAGTCTAGAGTCTATACTCGGGATGGATACCAAGGTCGTATCTGCTACAGCTGGGGACTGCAGCACGTGGAAGGCCTGGACTGGCCTCGAGAGAAAGGGGGGGACATGAAACCCGCCGGAAGTGGCCCAAGACGGGGGTTTCGGCCCGGAAAGGGGGGTTTGGGCCAGAAGTGGCCCAAGTCTGGGTTTACGGCCCGGAAAGGGGGGTTTGGCCCAGAAGAGGCCCAAGACTGGGTTTTCGACCCGAAAAGGGGGGTTCGGGCCAGAAGAGGAGGGGAGGGGCGACATACAGTGGGAACCGGAGAAGGCGGGCGAGGAAAACGAAAACAAACAAAAAACAAAAAAAAAAAAAGGCGGGAGAGGCCGAAGGCCACTAAAGCATGCAGAGAACAGAGGCGAGGGCCACTCTTTTTACACCGGGAGCGGCACAAGGAAGTCTCGCTGCAGGGTGGCGAGGCCCTCCGCACGGAGTGCTTGCGAGGCTAAGAGGAGCAAGCGTTGCAAGGTGTCTTCCGGCGTGTCAGCCGGGCAGCGGGCGGCCAGGTCTTGTTGCAAGCTGCCGAGATCCGCGCCACTACATTGGCGGATGCGTGCCAGCAGCCACCGCCGAACATGCTTAAGCCGCAGCACGGATGGGAGAGCTGCCTGGGAGCCAGCTCCGGCTTGGCAGCAGTCGGCAACATGCTGGAGGTGCTGCAGGAGATCGCCCGCAAGGGGCGGGGGACGACGACGCAAAGGGCAAGCTTGCAAGTCGCGGGCCCACATGAGCCAGCAGTCCGGGCAGAGGGGGGCCGCGTCAGGCCGGAAATAAGCGGGGTGAGCGCCGCAGTTCCAACGGCACTGCGTGCGAGAATGCAGAATGCGGTTGCACGAGGCACAAGGAACACCAACGCAAGCTTTGCAAAAAGGGCATGGTGAGGGGTTCCGGCCGGAAGGCGGCCAGGCAGCCCCGCCACAAGTCCAGCAACAAAATAAGCGTTGGATGTTGGCCTGCGGGCACACGCACGTTTGGGCCAGGCCAGCAACGGCGTCATGCCATGTGGGCAATTGAGGGTCGCCCCAGGCAGGAGCATCGTCTTGGAAGACTGCAGCCCCGTGCTGAGCCAGCGCTGCCAGCAAGGCAGAATCAGCTAGTCGGCCGCACGGACCCATAGCTCGGATTCTGGCCAAGGCAGCAGGCGGGCGCAGGAGGGCCCAACGGAGCTCAGTGAGCAGCGACTGCCCGGGCGGGGTGGCCAACCAAGTGCGGAGTGAGGATGCCGCATCCTGCCGAGGCGGGTGCAGAGCAGCTGGAGCATCGTCCCCCAAGGCCAGAGGGATAGCGATGCGGCAGATTCGTATCCAAGCATCCAAGCGTGCTTGGTAGGCCTGTCGTAAACGCCTGATGCCAAGGAGAAGGCACTTTGTAAGGTGGATGGCCGGAGCATGTGGGGCCCGTGCTTTGGAAAGTGAGCGTAGTTCTTGCTGAAGGGCCAGGGGCTGGCGAAGGGTGGCAAAATGCTCCAGCGCCTTCGTCTGCTCCATGCTGGCATCTGTGCACAGCGCCTTACCGAGTTTGATGGGCAGCACCGCCCGATAAGCCAGATCTGTGCCGCGTTCGCGGCCAGTGCCTGTCGCACTGCTACCATCTACATCAACAGAAAGGAGGGGCTCCCGCCCGGGGAGAACCACAAGCCACCGCCATGCGGACAGGATGGGCCAGCGCAGAGCGTCTCGTTCCGCGCATTGGGCCGGGAGGGCGTCAGCGCGAGCCTGATGTGGCCAGGCCTGGGCTGCTTGGCGGAGTGACTCGGCGGTGGCGAGGGTTTGAAGTTCAGCCTCTATGTCGTCGCGTAGCATGTCTGCGGCCGGGGCTAAGGCCTTGCACGACATGACGACATGGCGAGGCGTGCCAGGCCCAGCTTGGCAGAGTGGACAGGTGCGCGGGGAGGGCAGGCCCGCTTGCGTCGCCCACGTGTCCGCAAGGGCGGCCACATCTGCATGAGCGTCGGTAGGCCGTGGCAGATAGGTCCAGCGGCAGGCGGTCAGAAGGGAGCATCCATCGCTCCCAGCGGCCGGAAAAATGGCACTGCGAGTAAAGGGCGGGGTCCAGTGTGGGCTGATGAACCTCGTGAGCCAACCGTGGCAGGAGGCCTTGCACAGGACGAGAGCACCAGTCGTGGAGGCAAGAGCTGCGCAGTTTGTGCCGGACGTGCTCTCGTATGGGGCTGGTGACCATATAGCCTTGATCAGAGAACCAGGCAAACGGCCCGCCTGAAGGCAAACGGACGTCGACAGGGGACGTGGACAGGCGGGCTGCATCACAGCCTTGGTCTTGGACGACGTTGCCCTGGACAAGGTTGGGAAAGGGGATAGGGGAGCCTGCTTGATGACTTTTAATATCGAGGCCTACCAGCCCGATGGCCTCGAAGGCTATGCGGGAGTGGCACTTGAGTTTGTCGCCAATCGGTGCGAATGTGTGCCAGTGTGACGGGTAGTGTTGTTGATGCAGCTTCCAAGCAGGCAGGGGGCAGGTCCCATCCCAAGCCTGTTCAAGTTGTTTCAGCACGCGGCGCAAAAGGAGCACAAGCGTGCAGCACGAGGAGTGGAGCAGTTGGTTCAAGGTGCCCCGCAAGGCAGAGTGCATGACTTGGAAAAGAGAGCTGCGATCAAAAACTAGGAGGTGCCAACGCCCCGGTACCCGAAACCGGAGAGCACACAACAAGGAGTGGAGTTCAGCCGTATGCACGGTGCAATTCTCCCATCCATACCTGGCGGGGAGGCGGCCTAGCAGGCGTTGAGAAGCCCACGATGAGTCCTCCCAATACCGACCGGTCTGGCCAAAACCGCGCGCTTGGCTGCAGAAAGTGGCGCCTTGCGCCGCGGAGAAGCCTCCGTCTCCGAACAGAGCAAAGTCAGAGGTAGCTGTAAAGTTGGAAACGGGGGCGAGCAGGTGGCCAGAACGGGGGTCCCCCGAAGGGAGCCAGGGGTCTACCCAGGCCACATCCCTCCAGTCCTCTGCTGGCGCAGGGGCTGCAGGGACGTGAAAGATGAGGCATTCTTGCTGCCAGTCAGAATCCGCTTGTTGCAGGGCCGCTCGTGCAGCTCTGGCGCAGGCCTGACTGGAGAGAGGTAGGTGTTCGGGCAGGAGGTTAGACCACAGCTCTGCCTCTCCCCAGCGAGACGGCGGGATATACTGGGCTAGCAGTTGTTTCCAGGCGGCTCTGACAGAGTTGGCGAAGATGCCACATCGCGCAAAACGCGCCGCAGATTCAAATCGGCTAGGGTTGAAAGGGCCGTGTAGCGGCTGGGGGGGAGCAGGGTTAAGGTTGTCCAGTAGGCGGCTAATGAAGCGGTCGGTCGACACGCTGAGGTACAAGCCGTAGCCGGCAAGGAAGTGCAGGGCTGTGACAACCAGACCGCGGTGCTGTGGTAGCTCGGCTGGCGGGGAGTCCAAAGCTGCACGGAGACTATCACGAGCCAGGTCAGCTGCTTGGGAGGTACCGTTGAGCAGCAGAAGCAGGTCAGAAGCCACAGCGGCTACGAGCATCTCGGAGAGTAACGGGATGCCCAGGCCCCCGGCAGAGCGAGGAGCAGACAGGCTCACCCGCTCCGAGGTGCTGCGCACACCAAGTCCTGCATGCAAGAGTCTGTGGAGAGCGGCGTCTTCGCGATGCAAGTCCGCCGGGGGAGGGATGCCCAAGAGAGGGGCGTAGCCGAGCACTCCGCCTAGCACCCACTGGGTCATTGCAGCTACCTCATCCCAGGCGCAGCACTTGGAGAAGAAAGCATGTCTTGCATGAGTCCTCTCGCTCAAAGACATATATTACAGGATAGGAAGACTATAAACTTACTTACGTTGGAACTTATTCGAACTTAGGCTTTAGAGTTTGAAGCTTTAGGTTGTAGTGATGTTCACGGAGCCCTCTGTTCGAAAAAACCACCACCTCTGTGTCGACCCTTGATATTCTGTTACTGTGCCGATAGACTTACAACCCCAGACACCACTAGCTTTGTGCTGCTCGCGTTGAAGCTAACCCCTAGTTCCAAAGCCTGGCCCAAACCCACAGCGCAGCCTTACACCCTAAACCCTAAACTACCCGAAGCCCTAGACCCTAGAGGGGTTGGAGCTGCTGCACATCTCGTGCTCCGCTGTCTCTGCTTGAGAAATGCGCCGGCACATGAAAGTGCTCGATACAACCGCAAAAGCAGACGTGCTACACGGTCTTCAACTGATCCAGCACAGAACTGCTGTCACCGCCCATACAAGCCTCGCCCCAGGTCACGACCGATCCGTCAGAAAGAATGGCAACAAAAGCGTCTTCAGTGGCTTGGACCTGCTGCACATTCTTCAGCTGATCCTGCACAGCACTGATATCACCACCACGGTGACCAGCAGCCCAGGTCACAACGGATCCGTCGCCAAGAATGGCAGCAAAAGTACAATCGGAGGATTTGACCTGCCGAACGTTGTTCACCTGCTCACCAAGACAGCCAGCAGCATTCCAGGTCACAACAGAACCTTGGCTGACTTCTGAACCCCTACTAAAAGTTAAACTTTTAGCCTCCTTATTATAGTTCATATAGAAACCCAAAAAGTTAAAGTCTAAAGAGCCAACCAGAAGAACGCCAAGGAACCATCGCCAAGAATGGCAGCAAAAGCAATGTTGGAGGCACAGATCTGCTGTACGTTTTTCAGCTGATCCTGCACAGCACTGCTGTCACCGCCAAATCTATCCGCACCCCAAGTCACAACGGAGCCGCCACCAAGGATGGCAGCAAACGCTCGCTGAGTGGCTTGGATCTGCTGCACATTCCTCAGCTGATCCCGCACAGCGGTACTCTCACCGCCCCACTCAGCAGCGCCCCAGGTCACGACGGATCCATCGCCAAGAATGGCAGCAAAAGCACGTTCAGTGGCTTGGATGTGGTGCACATCTTTCAGCTGGTCCTGCACGGCACTACTGTCACCACCTTTGCCAGCATCGCCCCAAGTCACGACCGATCCGTCACAAAGAATGGCAGCAAACGCGTGTTCAGAGGCTTGAATCTGCTGCACGTGCTTCAGCTGAACCTGCACAGCACTGCTATCACCGCCATGGTCAGCATCACCCCACGTCACGACAGATCCATCACCAAGAATGGCAGCAAAGGCGACGTCGTTGGCTTGGATCTGCAGCACATTCCTCAGCTGATTCCGCACAGCGCTGCTGTCACCACCGGAGCCACCACAACCCCAGGTAACAACAGAACCATCGCCAAGAATGGCAGCAAAAGCGCTGCTGGAGGCTTGGATCTGCTGCACATTGTTTAGCTGATCCTGGGCAGCACTGCTGTCACCACCAAAGAAATCATCACCCCAGGTTGCGACGGATCCGTCAGCGAGAATGGCTGCGAAAGCACTGTATGTGGCTTGGATTTGCTGCACGTTGTCCAGCTGATGCTGCACGGAACTGCTGTCACCCCCATCCATATTACCACCCCAGGTCACCACGCATCCGTCGCCAAGAATCGCAGCAAAAGCACCTGTTGTGGCTTGAACTTGAACTTGGTTTAAGTGCAAGGTTAGTGTGTTACCATTTTGCACCCCTGCTGTCTTGATGGTTGCACGTGCATTTAGGACTCGTCCACATGAGTCCAGCAGACGCCCCTTTCCGGCACCGAGGGCGGTCCGTGCTCGCCTGCTCAATGTTTCCACCTCGTCGTCCAACCCTACATTCAGGGTAACTCTTGCGCCGCTGATCAGCCCAACTTCCACTGCGATTGACATGCTGCACACTAAGGCCGTCTGAATCCTAAACCCTAAACCCTAAACCCTAAACCCTTTGCTTGAGACTCCGGGTATGGCGATGTAGGGTCTTGAGTATCGGGTACCACGAGGTTCGTGAGCGCTAAACTTGTCAACCTTCGTTGAAACCTGGAACCCTGAAGCCGTGAACGCTACCGGACCTAGGGGGATTTCGGGTTGTGGCATGCATATGGCTTCAGGTTTAGCAATAATTAGTAAGGTTTTGGGGTATGGCACAGCAGGTTCCCACAGCCCTGAACCCTGAGCCGTAAGCCCTTTGCCGATCAAGGTCTCAGAACACGTGGTTTGGAGTTGAAACAAGGCTTCAGAGGACACAAATCGGTGTAGATAGGGTTGTCACTCGCCTAAGTGGGGAATAACGGTTTAGGGTTTCGGGGTTGGAGAGGTTGCTGAGTATGGCCCCTTTGTAATACGGGTACCCTTGTTTCCTACTACGTATTCGGTTTTGGCACCCCAAAAAAAACCAGGGCGACAGGGTACTTCTCAGGGCTTAAGTGAGGAATAAACATTGAAGGCATGTTCCTTTAGGGTTTACCTGGGGATCCAAAAGGGGTCATAACCTACTACTTTGTAGGTTTTGGAGTCACAGAGACCCCGGGAGGATCCAAAAAGTAGATCCCCTAATGGGGGTTCCTATAAAGTACCCTTAGTAGTATAGGGTCCCAAATTAGGGGATCTACTTTCCAGGTAAGGGTTTGGGGATATGGGGATTTAAGGTTTACGGGTGTCGCTTGTTTCTTGTTGTTCGGGCTCAGGCCCTAAGGCTCCATGTACCAATATGGGATATACTTCGGCCTTAAAGCCTTAAAGTAGAAGCCCCTTACAGGTGGGTAGTTCTTCTTCCATAGTACTCCCATAAGACCCCCTTTACCTTGTAGGAGTGGTATGGGAGGCTTATGGGAAACTACCCACCTAATAACTGCCCACCTGTAAATGGCTTAGATAAAGTACCCATAGAGAGAGACTGACTAAGAAACCTTGGGCCTTTATTAGGGTTCCTTTTTATGGGTGGTTGTCAAAATTATGGTGCCCTTTGTGGGTCCCTATTATCATACGGCACCTAGTGTTTAGGATACCCCAAAAAGGGACCGTAATTTTGACAACCACCCATATGAATCCTACGAGTTTGCGGGTTATAGGACCGGGGTTTTCTAATCAGGTTCCTACATTAAACAGTCTAGCAGTCCCGAGGTTCACAAAGGGTGGTTGGGGTCCCTTTGGGGGTCCCCTTTGGGGTCCTTATTACTATGGTTTAGGGTTTAGGGTCAATATTAGGGTCCCTTTTGGGTCCCTTGTTTCCACCCCCCTTACAACGACAATACAAGTACTCTTGTTAGTATTCTCTTGGGTTTGATAAGAACAAAAAATAAATTCCTAAGGGGACTATAGATTACAATACGGCACCTAATATTGAGGGTACCCAGAAAGGGACCATAACTTTGACAACCATCCAAAAAGGTCGTTGTAGTTTTACTTCCGTGCGCCCTGCTTCTCAATGGCTGCACCAGGCAGCTGCAAGTAAGGTGTGGTTGGTCTTCCGCTAAGCTCAACCCTGAACCCTAAACCACTATATCCTTAAATCCCTAAACCCTCAACCCTCAACCCTAAACCCCCAAACCCCTAAACCCTAAACCCCAAACCCTAAAACCCTAAAACCCTCAACCACTAAACCCTAAATCCCTAAACCCTAAACCCCGAAACCAGAACTCTCGGACTTTGCGCCTGCGTGGCCCAGCTTGCTAAAAGCCTGCTTCCAAGGCCAACTTTTACTGCTTCTAGGTTCCTGAGTAGCCCCTTTATAATAAGGGTACCCTTTTTCGTACTATGCTTTTTAAAATAAGAAGACCCCAAAATAAAAAGGACAAAAGGGTACTACTCAGGAACAGGCCAGCTTTCCCTAGGGCTCCAAGGACTCATATATTAAGGCTTTTGGGCCCAAAGACCATTCTATATAAGGCTTTTGGGCAATTTTGATGCGCAGGGTTTTGCGGTTTAGGAGAGTTTAGGGTCTAATCGAAAGGGGGCTATTTGGGCTTAGGGGCAAGGGGGTTTAGGGCGTTTAGGCTTTCGGGATTTAGGGCTGATAGGGTTCATAGGGGTTTAGGGTCCAGTAAGGTTAGCTACGTGTCGATGTCATCAGTCCCCCCAGGTATGTAATCATAATAACCGACAATCAAGGTCTGGGTTAGGTACGGGTCAGGGTTCATTTAGGGCTTAGGGTTGGGAAGGGTTTACACGTCTATGCTTCAAACCCTGTAGGCCTACATTGAAACCAGTGTTTGAATGTTAAGGGTTTTGGGTTCTAGGTTCTATGTGCTGGCGTGGGGCTTCAGGCTGTTTAAAGGGTTTCGCCGTATTTTGCTGAAACTTTGCGTAATATAGGCGCGTACCAATTTGAATAAGGTTCTGGGGAATGTTGTGCTACAGGGACTGCGCGGGGCAAGCATTACGGGCCTTCGCTCTTGTCGTTCAGGGTTCAGGATTTGGGGTTGAGGGGGTAGGGTTGGTATAGCGTTCAGAAACAAGCCCATGCCACCCAGGCGAGGGTGAGGTTTTGAATACTGGGAGGCTCATGGGACTTAGTAACTGGGGTTACAAATGAGGAAACCCTAGTTATGATTACTTCTAACCCCAACAGGCTCATCAAGCTCTTGATCAGGATCATCCAATTCGATCACGGCATCCGCCTCATGCTTCCGGGCCTCATCGTAATGCCAGTGAACGAAATCGCTCAGAATTCGGCGGACTCACGATGCCCTCATGATTCAAGCGCAGGAAGCGGTTCTTGAGCCATCTCTCATCAACTCGTTTGCAGCCCAATCGCATGCCTTGTGCCCATGGCTGATCATCACATTTCTTGAGCTTTCCCGTCTCGTCTGGCCGCAATGCCAGGAATCCATCCCCACGCCGGCCGGCCAAAACCCAGTTTGCTTCTTCAT